TCCTCGACAGGCTCGCTGGTGGCGCGACCTATCCGAGTTTAGTTTCACCACTGAGCACATCAAGGGTGAGACTAATCGGGTCACAGATGCCCTATCCCGACGCCCTGACCACGACCAGGAGTACGTGCGTTGGAGTCTGCGTGGGGAGCTGCGCTGTGCACCTTGCTCCCTCGTTCTTCCTCCATCTCCATCTCTGTCACTAGCGGAGCACCACACCTGGTGGGTCCGCTACAATAGGGAGCGATACCATGGGCAGAAAAGTTCCGCGATCTATGGGAGGATGAGCAGTTAGAGAGGGAGAAGCCTACTCGATGCGTATATGCTCTGATCTCGACGAAGTGTAGGAAGATTTATATAGGCCGTACCGGTAGAGATCTCTCCCATAGATGGAGAGAGCACGTAGCCTGCAGCACCGGGAAGGAATATAGATGTCAACCGCTATACAGATGGCTACGTAAGGTAGGTACGGAAGACTATATTGCAATACCACTGACGGCAGCGGAAGCAAAAAAGACGGATCTCAAACAGATCGAGCGCTGCCTCATCAGGAAATGGTTGCCGACACTAAATCTACAGGATAAGAATCCGAGGCAACCAAAGAGGCGAGGGAAAAGGAGAGGCAAGCGGGAGAGAAAAGGGAGAAGGAATGCTCGCGGGAAGAAGGGACAGATCCTTAGATTTGTAGACTCTGAGGGATCGACGACTACCAGGATATCCGAGTACTTAGATCGTGCTATTAAGGCAGGCAGGACTAATCTACACATCAAATGCAACGGAGACATATGGTGTGAGGATTGGAAGATCATCAAACAAAGATTTGGTATGTCAAAGATGGAAATGGGAGGGAGAGCATGCCTACTTAAAGAAGAAAAGTCGTTGATCGAACGCGGGGGCATGCTGATCATCAGAGAACCAGCGGAGACTGTCACCTACCCAACGAAGGTCCGACGATAACTTCTCCTTCTTCTGACTCAGCCATGGCGTAGAGAGCTGCTATGGAAGAAGGGAGACCACGAGCTCACCTATATGTACCAGGCTACTAGGGGTTTCGACAAGAGGAGTAGGCAGAGAATTAGGACAATCCTATCTAAAGTACTAAATGAGAAGGTGGGGATCAATCTTAGGAAGAAACATACAGTGAAAGTTCCTTATGACGATCGAGTAGAAAGGAAGAAGATAGGTGACGTGGCAAGGCTGAAGATCGGAGACCTGGGCATGAGCGAGACCAACACTGCTATTGTACGAAGACACGTTCACGTCGTCTGGATGAAGAAACAGACGATCGGCGACCTGCTTCACAACCAGCGAGACTACGCGCGCTCGTATGGTAGCACCTGCAATTGTGTAGAGAGCCCCTTCCCCTGCGTGGAAGGACACGTGCAATACAGCCTGTCGGATCTTGATGCCCCGGACTTCCTCTTGACCGCTAGGAATATCGCGGCGCAGAGGACGAAGCAGGTGAGGCGCGGCATCATCCCGGCTCTGCTGGATGGTCTTGGAGAACTGTTTAGCTCTGCAGGAAAGAACCTCAATGTGAGTATCGACGACGTGAGACAATGTGTCAGCAAGGAGGACACATCGCAGGAGGACTGGAACCACGAGGCTCTAGTCTGGAGGAAGAAACTACGCGGGCTAGTGTGTATGCCGATGGACCGAAATCCAGGAGCGACATACATTGTCTGCCCAATGGTATATACGCGAGCCTGCGTGACACATTCTGGCACGGGGATAGCTTCATGGCGTGTGACTTGATAGTACAATTAGGTAATATAAAAATATATATTTAAAAAACAAAAAATTAAAAACAATAACATATGTCTTCATTCTAAGATATATGAAACTTGGATTTTAAGTATATCTAACACATTTTGATCATGTGTAATCTGAAGGAGGACGACGTACTGACACAAGGAAAGAGAGACTATGAAGAAACGGGGCTGAAGTCACTCGGAACCTTGAGAAAGAAGGGGAGGTACAGTGACGCATACGTAATACCGAAGCAGAAAGACCCCAAGAGGTGGAGGCCGATAGCCCCAGCCTGGAACTCACGTACGAAGGTTGGAGCCAAGAAGGTAGCTAAAGCACTGTACAGCATGCTAGGCTGCTTGGCGAGGAAACTCCACTTCAACACGGCATCATCCGAGGACGCCATCAAGAGACTGGCAACTTGGTCGTCTGGACTGGAACCCAAGCACGGGGTCATGACCGCGAGCTTCGATATAAAGAACATGTTCGCGGAGCTTTCACACAAGGAAATACGAGAGGCACTGGACTGGCTGATATTCATGATGCAGACGAAGGGATACGATAGGGTGAACGTGAACTGCAGGGGAAAGAAGCCGACGATGGGCTGACAAGCGAGGGAAGGACACCAATCGGTTAAGTTCGAAGTCGTGCGCTGCTGGGTGAACTATGAGCTTGACGACTCCTACAGCTTGGCGGAAGGCGAGTTGATACAACAGATCAAGGGTATCCCTATGGGAGGGCACACGAGCCCGGCCCTTGCATGCATATTATGTGCAAAGAGCGAGGCAATATTCACTCATAACCTGAAGACAGACCGAAAGAGACTCCTCGGGCTGCGTTTGATGGACGACGTGGCAATATTCGTTCGGTACGTGAAAGATAAGATTGAGAGCGCATGCACAGCGCGGGATATCATGAAAAAACTGTTGACATGTTATCCCTCGGATTTGACACTTCAACGCACAGACGAGGGGGATGGCACGCTGTCATTCCTGGGATGCAAGATCCTTGTAGACCAGGAGGGACCAAAAATCTCCTCTATGCTGCAGATGAAGAACCATGACTGTGTGACTCAAGGCAGAGACCTGACACACCAGGGCATCAAGGATTATAGGTCCTACAGCGATAAGCAGACCAAGTCAGCAATGATCCTGAGCTACCTATGCATTCACACTCCGATTATTCACACTTGTCTTGCATGCAAACAGCGATACAGCAACTGGCGACATGCACCCTGACAGTACTTAAGATATCGTAACCAGATATGAGTTCTCTTCAACTGGCTATGGCGACTGGGCGCCCACACAACTCACTGTTCGCACTCTGGATCACCCTGGATGTCCCACACGCAACACTCAGTATCATACGCAACACACACACACGCTATGCTACAGCTATGGCAGCGCTAGCTGCCACTACCTATCGCTACACTACACTTCTCTGCCCACTTCGTCTTCGGGCACACTGCAGACCTCCTCGCACAAGCTGCTAAGGCAGCGCTTCCGCATGGCATCCGCAGGAATGAATGAATGGCTGGACGAAGCCTCTTGATTTATACTTCTGCGCTGCGTTGGTCTGCCCTGTATCCCTGGCCCATGGTGCACACAGTCCCCCCCGTGGTACTTGCTGGACCGGACTGGTACTTTCTAGACTCTCCC